GCATAGCAGCAGGAAGTACAGGGAAATGTTTTAATAAAAAAACTAAAAAGCCACAGGCAAATTTAGCAACTTGAAACTTTTAAATTTCTGTGTAAGGATAGACACCATGAAAATGGTTAAAGATAAGTTAAAATAGTTAAAGATCAGTACCTGTCTACACAAAGCACAACATCCTGGCTTTATTTTTCTTACTCATATTACCCAGTGCTTTTCAAAATGGTCTTTGCAGAGCCAGGCATGGTAATGCACGCCTATAACCCCAGCACTCATGAGGCTGAGGCAGGAGGGTCACTGGGAGTTCAAGGCCAGCCTAGACTGCATAGTGAAACCCTGTTTCAGAAAAACCAAAAAAAAACAAAGAAGTTTTTTGCAACCTTTGATGGCTCACACCTGTAATCCCAGCACTTGGGAGGCTGAGACAGGAGGACTGCCACAAATTCAAGGTCGGCCTTGGCTACCTAGTGAGTTCAAGACCAGCCTGCACTACCACAAAAAGACCAATACCAGGAGCCTGGAATGACAGCCACTCAGTAAGCAGAGACATGAGGATGGAAGTATGAAGCCAGCCTGGGCCACTTAGCAAAACCCTGTCTTAAAACGAAAAACAAAAAAAGGGGGCTGGAGATAGCACAAAAGTAGAGCACTGGACTGGCACATTTAAGGTCAGAAGCACAGCCCTACCTCCATCTATTCTGCTCTCAAAAGAAGCTGGAAGACAGATAAAAAGAGTAACAGTTACAAGACGAACAGAATTTTTGTCAATCAATAACAAATGATCTACTCTTTTTGCATGGGCCAAGATATGAACAGGCAGTTTACAAAAGCAATTAAAATAAGCAGCTACTTGGGAGGCTGAGGCAGGAGGAGCACAAGTTGAAGGACAGCCTAGGCAACTTAACAACACTGCATCTCAGAACTTAACAGAAGGGTTGGGGCTGTCACTCAGTGGTCAAGAGCCCCTGGGTTTGAATGGAGACTATAGGAGAAGAGATGGCTAACTTTACTATTAATGACATATTAATGACAACAGAAATTGAAAGACTAAAATAGTATTTTCACTCATAAAATCAGTACCTGTCTACACAAAGCACAACATCCAGCCTTGCCAAGGTAGTAGAATTAGAGACGGTCACACGTGCTCCTAAATGAGTGCATACATTCAGTTTTGCTGCAAAACTTTTGAAATTCACTTTCAAACTCAATTAAAACTTAAAAGGTACTGTGTATGACTGTAAATATATATATATATGGATGTTCATTATAGCATTGTTTATAAGAAAAAACCAAGAACCCCAAAGGTTCACTAGACAGAACTATATAAATATAAATTGGAATTGTGGGCAATTCTTTTTGTTTTTGGTTTTCTGAAACAGGAATCTCACTATGCAGCTCAAGTTTTTCTTGAACTCATCTGGCCTAGAACTCAGACCCTTCTGCCTCAGCCTTCTGAGTGCCAGGATAACAGATGTGTACTACCCCACCCGGCCAATTCTGTGTAATTTTACAAATTTCTTTTTCTTTTTTGACAGTCTCACTATATTGCTCATACTCATTAGTTCAAGCAATCCTCCTGCCTCAATCACCAAGTATAGCTGGGACTACTGGCATGTAACACTTTGCTCAACTCCTGTTATGAAACAATTTTTAAGAAGTATGGGGCTGTGGGTGTAGCTCAATGGTAGACCTCTTGTCTGGCAATAGCAAAGCATGGGTTTGAGTCTCACCATTCCATTCCCAGTAGGGGGCAGGGGAGGGTTGGGTGGTAAACTGAGGGGCTAGAGTCCTGGCACCATATGCAGGCAAGAGAAGCCTTGGGTTCATCTCCAATACCACAAACGGAGACGACGGAGAACCAACATACATGTCTAAAATACACTGGCACATTATAGGTGCTCAATAAATATGCACTGGGCAAAAACATTTTTATCTAAACAGTAGCCTGGTATACAGTATATTAAACTGACAAAATTAATTATCAGGAGCAAAGAATAATACAGGGAGAGACTAAACATTTTTAGCTTTTTTTACTTTGTACTGGATTGGTAAAAGTAAGGATGAATTTTTTTTGTTTGTTTTTTGTTTTTTGTTTTTTTCTCTGGTACCGGGAACCGAACTCACGACCTTGCGCTTGCCAGGCAGGCGCTTTTGAGGATGAATTTTTTTTTCCAATTAATTTCTAGCCAGGCATGATGACCCACACCTGTAATCCCACCAGTGGGGAGGCTGAGGCAGCAGAACTGCTGCAAATTGGAGGCTAGCTGGACTACACAGTGAGTTCAAGGCCAACATGAATTACATAGGAGCCAGGCAACGTGATGCAAGCCTGTAATCCTAGCACTCAAGAGGCTGAGGTAGGAGGATCGTTGTGAGTTCGAGACCAGCCTGGACTACAAAGTGAGCTCAAGGCCAGCCTGAACTGCATAGAGAGACCCTGCTCGCCCCCCCAAAAAAAGGCACCATGAACTACATAGGAAGACCTTGTCTCAAAAAAAAATTCTGCGACTTTTCTTTCTCTTTTCATTTTATCTCAACTTTAGGATGATCCTAACAGCACAAAAAAATTTTTTTCAATGTCCCCAAGTGTACAGTGCTCAGGAAAATAAAATTTGTGTATCAGTTGGGGAATCCTTGTCTTTTTTCACTATACAAAGACTTTATTTCAATATTACTATTAGTTCTTCTAAACTCACAACCTGATAGCACCTATAGCAGAAATTGGGACTTAAATGACATTTCCATCTCTAGGAGGACCCCTCCTGATAGCTAAAGTTGAGATAGGCTCGCCAGGTGTGGTGGCGCATGCCTGTAATCCCAGCACTCAGGAGGCTGAGGCAGGAGGATCGTTGTGAGTTCGAGACCAGGCTGGGCTACAAAGTAAGCTCAAGGCCAGCCTGAGCTGCATATCCAGACCCTGTCTCAAAAAGACAAAAAAGAAAAAAAGAGAAAGAGAGATAGGCTCAACTTTTCGTTTTCCTAAGGTAACCTGGTACAGAGTTCAACCTGCATGGCAAAGTGTCCAACAAGACTAGTCTACTGCAGGGAGTCCTAGCTCTGCAGCGAGGAGGCCGGCAGCGTGGAGGCCACAACTAGACCGCCTGAAATAAAGGTGGACAGGTAGGAGGCTTTAACGTCTGCGGGGACAGGAGCCGGGCAGCCTCGGGCTACTCAAGGACTGCCTTGAGAAAGCACTCATTTTCAGACTGTGTTTGATTGCAACAGGCAGGGCCTTGCAAAGAAAGCTCACTTCGCTCCAGTCACTCCAGGTGACCCCAACATCTGGAGAGCAATTCCAGATGGCAAGCTTAGAGAATGACAACCATGGCCGAAGATCGGAGTACGAACTATTCTTCTATTGGGGCGTCTGGCCTAGGAATGATGGAAGGCAGAAGAGTGGAGCTTCTTCAGGTGTTTCAACTAGCTCACACACCAAACCCACAGCGAAATAGCCCCTAGCTCCTAGAGATTTCCGGGCCCCGATTCTTGCCCTCATTCAAAATGGCAGCCAAGGTTCGTCTGCGGCACTGCGCATGCGCAAGATCTTCAGCACGCCCCCTCCCATCCTCCCGCGCGCCGCCCCACCCACTCGCCAAGCTGCGACGCTCCGCGTGTCCTCAACCTCACCTCCTTTCTGCCTGCCCCCGCCTGTCCAGGCTCCCAGGCCCGGAAGTGGATGTTGCCGCTCGGCGGAGAAGACGAGGGGGAGGGGAAGTGCTTCCGGGGAAACGGGCCCCGGGTTGGTGTTTGTAAACTTGCCTCGGTCCCGGCGGGGGCAGCGGCAGCCGCGGGGTTGGCACTGTGTGCTGAGGCCTGGAGGAGGCGCCGCGCGGCAGGGGAGACATCGGGAGGCCGCGCCTGGCAGGTAGGCGCACGCCTCGGGGAGCGCAGCGTCGTCCGGGCGGACGGCAGCGCCTGAGCTGCTCGTAGGCCGTGGGCGCCGCGCGGGAAGGGGGAGGGGAGGGGAAGAGAGGAGGGGCGCGTGGCGGAGGGAGGGCGCCTCGCGCGCGCACCGCCTCTCGCCCGCCCGCGCGTGCCGCCGCGTCCCCCGCCCGGGAAAGGGGGGCTCGCGCTGCGGGGACGCGGGGACGCGGGCACGAGCACGCACCTCGCGCGCTGCTCGGCGTTCTCCGGCTCTCGCCGATCGGTGTGGCCGGCGCTGTGGCTACCTGGCTGGCAGGAGGGAGGGGCGTGCCGCGCAGCTCTTGGCTCCGGCTGCCCACCCTCCACCTCTGCAGCGAGTTCCGGTACCTTCGGGCGAACTTGGAGCACGCACGCGTAGGGGCACTGCTAGTCCGCTGTCTGCCCACCGCCTCGGCACCCAGCGATGGCCCCCGAGCCTTCTTCCACCCCTGCTCTGACCGTCTCCCCGGAGTGCCAGCTTTGCGGGCCAGCCCACTTGGCACAAAAACCCCGAAGGGCCTCCGCCCCCTTCTTCCAGTCCTAAGATGGCAAATCCAAGCAGCTAGCCTGTTGGCAGAGTTCTTCCGTAGGAAGCCCCACTTTTGCTCCTGGTGGCTGCCCCTCCTTGCCCAGGAGACCAGTTCTTCCACCGACCTAGAAGGAAAGCTCTTCCTGACTCTGAACGTCACAGAGTGCCCAGCAAAAATAAAGCTCAGCGTGTTACTTGGTGGGTGGCCCGAGGATGTTGCCTTTAAGGGCCCTGCCTCCCTTTCTGATTTCAGGTTTCTGGAGCAGATCAAGAGTTTCATCAAGAGAATTTAAGTGGAAAATCAAGACTGGCAGACTTTGCTTCCTTCAGACAATAGGCAGAAGCCAGGCAGAAGCCAAGGATTGTTGGAACACCTGTTTTCCCTTTGAAGGGCACTAAATTCTTTTGGAAGACAAAGGCAGGTCAATATGGGAGCAGGACACAAAGGACATGGAGCCATTACCGTGATTTGGTGACAGTTCTTCAGACAGCAGTGTCTTAAGGAAAGCTGGGTCAAGGAACTCCTGGACTTTTGGGTTCGGTTAAGTGAGAAATCAGCATGGCTCAGGTAAAAAGCTCTAGAGTCCTCCTTCAAGATCACTGGGAAGCCTGTTTGCAGATTCACTCTTGAATGCTGCCTTAGACAACAATATTGACCAACCCCAGTGAGCCGAGCTCTGTGTTAAGCACCAGGGGGAGATCTAGAGGAAGGAAAGGAGACAGGCCACAGCCCCTGCCTTCAGGGAGCTTCCAGTCAAATGAAGGAGGTAGGCCATACTGCATCACAGGCACCGGGGGGATATTGGCAAAGCAACATGTACTCAGTGTCCATCTGGTACATTAAATGCTGAGGGGAATAAGGGAGTGGTGGATAGTTGGGTGAATGCTTCATTTGTTGTTGGATTTTTTTCTTTTTTTTAAACAAGAATTTATTGAACCCCTGTTACATGCAAGGCATTGTGGTGAGAATACAAAGATGAATAAGATTGTCCTAATTCCCAGTAAGCTTCCAGGCTAGTTGGGGTGGGGTGGGGTGGGGTGGGATGGGGTGGGTAGGGTAGAAAGACAGTCTGTTTACTTTTATATTCACAAGGCTTTGCATAGTTGCTGGCTGGTGGTAGGGACTATGAATCTGTTGATAGAAGGAATTTGTAATAATAGGTTACGTACACTGCAGAGTGGTACTTCTGCCTAGATGGAAAAATGAGGAAATTTGCAGGATGCATAGAATTTTCCTAAACAAGCAGAGAAGGACATTCACCCAAGGTAAACTGTGAGCAGAGGCGTACAGCAATAGGAGGATGTCATTCAGTGGTTGTGGAGCAAAATATTTATTGGGAGTTGTGAGGGAGAGAGTTGTTTCTTGGTGAGATAAGGCAGAGTACAATCTAAAGGCCTTTTATGCCTTGCTAAGGAGTTAGGCTTTGTAGGAGATAGAGACTCCCTAAAGGATGTTAAGCAACAGAATGTCAGATTGGTATATTTAGAAGGTAATTAATTGTGAGTGAATGCATATTTGCAGTTTTCACTTCTCATAAGGTGAGGGCAGGAGGATCAAAAGAGGCTAGCCTGAGCAACATAATGACACCCCATCTCAAAATAAAAAGGGGTAAAAGGATAGCACAGTGGTAAAGCACATGCCTAACATGTATAAGACACTAGATTTAATCTCTGCCACCAAAAAAATCAAAGAAAAAGGAAGAAGAAAGTGTTGATGTGGAGGATGGATTAGAGGGACAAAATAACAGTGGTGCCTCGGTTCACAAACTTGATTGTTTCCGTAATTCTGTTTGAAAACTGAGTTGAATGAGAACCACATCAAATTCACTGTTGACTTTATGGGGAAATCTGATTCCGTTCTGGTCCGGTTCAGTTTGCAACCAGAATTGTAGAGAGACTTGAGTTAGTGAACCGAGGTGCCCCACAGGACAGTCCTCTGGGTGGAAATTCTGTTGTGCACACATCCCCAGAGCTGCTGCTAGCTGTCTTCCAAGGAACGCCCCTACCAGCCTCACCAGGATGGCAGCCTGATTATAGTGTAATTGGCTTTCTTCCAGCTGCTTCTGCGTGCACAGCTTCCTCCTCCATGCAGAGTAGGAACCCTTTGACTTCTTCCTTTGTCTGTGTGCAGCCCACTCCTCTGGACCTTGTTCTGAAAAAGGCTGCAGTTCACGAAGCACTAACCTTGTGCCGAGCACTGCTGAGCATTTACATCTTAGTTTAATTCTTATCCGCCCTGTGAGGATGAGCACTGTGACAGGAATCTTGCATTGAAGAAAACTGAAGTTTAAAAGATGGAGTAACCCGTCCAAGATTACATGGTACAAATAGCAGAATTAAGATTCGAACTCCTGGGCCAGGGATGTAGCTGAGCAGCATAGTACCTGCCTGGCAAGCATGAGGCCCTGAGTTTGATTCCTGGTACCAAAAAGAAAAAAGGGGAAAAAAAAGATTTTCAACTCCTGACTTTTCTTTCCAAAATCCCTGAAAGTGGGGTAAGGGTTCCCAAGACAAATTGATTATCTTTGGGGTTTTTTGTTTGTTGGTTTTTTTTTGTTGGGTTTTTTTTTTTTTTTTTGTCTTTTTGAGACAGGGTCTTGCCATGCAGTTCAGGCTGGCCTTGAGCACACTTTGTAGCCCAGGCTGGTCTCAAACTTGCAACGATCCTCCTGCCTCAGCCTTGATCCTCCTGCCTCAGCCTCGCAAGTGCTAGGATTACAGGCGTGCGCCACCACGCCCGGCTGACAAACTGATTGTCTGAAAGGAATTTCTTTATAAATTTGGGAGTTTCTTGAGCAACTTTTTCTTCAGTTGGGCATGGTATTGCATCCCTGTAATCCAAGCACTACGGGAGGCTGAGGAAGATCACAAATTCATGTCCAACCTGAGCAACTTAGCAAGACTTTGTGTCAAAATCTAAATTTGAGCAGGGCATGGTGTGTACACCTGTAAGCCCAGCACTCAGGAGGCTGAGACAGGAGGATAGTCATGAGATCAAGGCCAGCCTGGACTACATGAAACAGGGTCTTGGTATGTGGTCCAGGCTGGCTTGAACTCACTGTGTAGCCCAGGCTAGCATCCAGTTTATAGCAATCCTCCTGCCTCAGCCTCCTGGTCATTGGGATTAGAGGTGTAAGACACCATGCCTGACTAAAGTTTAAGCTTTTTAGAAAGGGTTGGGGAAGTTGGGCATGGTGACGCATGCTTGTAATCCCAGTAATTGGGAGGCTGAAGCGGGAGGATTGCCACAAGTTTGAGGCCAGCCTGAGCTACCTAGCAAGACCCTGTCTCAAAAATAAATAATTAAAAGGACTGAGGGTATAACTCAGTGCAGAGTCCCTAGGTTCCATCCCAAGTACCAAAAAATTTTTTTGTGTAGTAAGGAGAGTGTTTTGTTTTGTTTTGTTTTTGAATGGCTAAACAAGGTCTGAAGACTACGGTAGTGAAAAGAGGTTACATTATTTGCTTAAATATCTCTTAAGTAGCCAGGTACAGTGGCACAGGCCTGTAATCCCAATATTTGAAAGCTGAGGCAGGAGAATGGCTATAAGTTCAGTGCTAGCCCGGACTACATAGTGAGCTCAAGGATATCCTGCACTACATAGTAAGACCCTGTCTCAAAAAAAAAAAAAAAAACCTTTAAGTAATATTTTTAGTGTTAGGGTAGGGGGAAAAAAACGTGGACTTATGATGCACACATACTAATGGCCTAAAGAAGTTAAAAGAAATTGTGTGTTTTAACTCCAGAGTCTTTCCAGGCAATTTAAATTTTATATCTGCCATAATCAGGAGGCTTTAGGCAGTTTAAAATCTGAAGATGAGGGGCTGGGGATTTAGCTCAGTGGCAAAGCGCCTGCCTGGCAAGCGCAAGGTCGTGAGTTCGGTTCCTGGTACCAGAGAAAAACCAAAAAAAAAATCTGAAGATGAGAGAGAAATACAGGTACATGTTTAGCACCAATAAGGTCCACCAATCAAAAGTGGGCTCCGAAGCGGAGTACTACTACAGGGAGGAGGAGGAGAGTCCTGAGGAATCTCCCACTTCAGTGGGTCAGCTGAACAGACCTTGTACCCACTTGCACATAAAACCTAGAAACAGCTTCAGAGTAATGTGAGCCAGGCACACTGTGTGGTCACGGTACCAGTGACAGAGTATCCATACTCCTTGTTTGTCAACTCAGACTGTCTCAGTGGTGAGGACGACAGGAAGGGTCTTGCATCCTGGTGAGATGGGGCAGGGGTGACTCCTGCGGGGTGCAAGGTTTGCTGGTGAGGAGGGGCATTCCCTAGAGAGATGCGGTAGGGGTAGCTGGGTGTGAGATTAGCCTTGCCCCGCCCTGCACTGTGCCAGGTCCCTGACTATATTTATCTTCTTTTGACACAGGCAAGTCTGCTGGCTTGTGAAGGCCTGGCGGGGGTGAGTTTGGTGCCTACTGCGGCCAGCAAGAAGATGATGCTCAGCCCGATCACCAGCAAGCAGACTGAGAATGGCGAGCGGGCCGGCAGCCCGGATGTGCTGAGGTGCTCGAGCCAGGTACAGCCCTTGAGTCCCGCATGGCAGCTGAGGCCTGGGGGCGATGCTTTCTGCCAAGAGATGCCAAGCTTGAGTGTTCGGTGCTTCCATTTAGGAAGTGGGAAAGGGCATCCAGCTGGGTAGTGAGTGAACGGGCACTTCAGAGAGCTAAGGAAAACTCTCCACACGCAGCTGTTGAGACCAGGGTGCACGGAGAGGAGGCAGATGAGTGCCTTTTCTCCCTGCTTGGAACTCACGCTTTGCTTTCATTTATAAATCATCAGAAAGCAGCATTTGGTTTCTTATTCTGAAATGGACTGTGAGTTTAGATTTGATTTGTCTTCAAAGGGCCACCGAAAAGACAATGATAAGTCCCGGAGCCGTAAAGATGACGACAGCTTGGCTGAGGCCTCTCATTCCAAAAAGACTGTTAAAAAGGCAGGTAATGGGGTACTTCCCCAAACGGGTACAGTTTGGGCTCGGGTAATCTTCCTCTTTCTTCCCACTGTGACTCACCCTGGAGCTTTCTCTGAACACTTTGGTCCCTCATAGCCAGGGAGTGTATTCGTTGATTTCAGCCAGAGTCCACTTAAGTAGTGGATGTCTGTCCTTGCCAGAACATCCTTGGTACTGGTCGGGAGCATGGCCTGTACTGTCGCCACTGTGGCAAGGGTGTGCCAGTGTGAGCTGAGGTCATACTCAGTGTTGGCTGTGAAGAAGGCAGGTTACTACTCCACCTCCTTCTCAAGAAGTCTCTTAACTCCAAGGCAGACAGGCAATGGTAGCCCCTTCAGACCACATCAGAGTGAGTCTTCATCGGGCAGCTAAAAGTCACCCCAGAGTAGAATGGTCTCTAGGAAGAGACTGACATGACATGACATGCCTGATTATTGCCCCCAGGTGGTGGTAGTGGAACAAAATGGTTCTTTTCAAGTAAAGATTCCAAAAAATTTTATTTGCGAGCACTGCTTTGGAGCCTTTAGGAGCAGTTACCACCTCAAGAGGCACATCCTTATTCATACTGGTAAGTCTCTTGCTTGTATTCAAAGGGGCAAATAGTCTATAGCTTGTATTCTGTGTGGCTGTGTAGCTGGCTAGTTGGATTTATTTTCCAGGGGAAATATTAGAGATGGAAGAAGAGGATGAGCAAAGGAAGTAGAATGCATGGCTCTGTGCCACCAAGATAGCAGCTTTTGGGACCCTTCCACATACATGATAGCCTAGGTATCCGGGAAGATAACTGGGTTGTGATCCCTGTGATATATACCTCCTGATACTTATTTCTCTCTCCACCTGGGCCAGGTGAGAAACCATTTGAGTGTGATATTTGTGATATGCGCTTCATCCAGAAGTACCACCTGGAACGCCACAAGCGTGTGCACAGTGGTGAAAAGCCTTACCAGTGTGAACGATGTCATCAGGTAAGGCTCACGCATCATCCCTGCCCACTACAGCACCACATGTAAACTTTCTTCCCCACTGCTGCCTGATAAGGGGGCCACCTGGCGTAATAGACTCGGTACCTCAGGATGAAGTGCATCTTGCTGGCTGTATGCAGCTGACCATAGAAATAGGGTCATGGGACTGTTACAATAATAACAGCATTTCTTAAACATTTGCTCTGTGCTAGGCACTGTGAGAACATGCTTTACACGGATTTTTTTTTTTTTTTTTTAAGTTAATCTTCACCTTGGCTCCATAAGGTAGTTAGTTGTATTGTCTTCGTTTCGAATATGGGGAAATTGGAATTCAGAAAAGTTGTTTCTCAGGGACACTGAAGATCAAGGGCAGAGTCAGGATTCAGTCCAACATCAGAGCTCGTGCAGCTTGGAAGAAGAGATAGAATCTCTGCCCTGAGAGTCAGATTCTGATCTGATGGGAATATGGTGTCAGGACCAAAATAAGACAAGAACAAGAGATAGTAGCTGATGTTTCTGGATGCTTTGCTAGGTCTTAGATTTCGTTTCACACTCTTACACTAAATCTTCACAACACTAGAGTGAAAGTCCCTTGAGGGAGGCTTTGTTTCTCTCTTTTTTTTGTTGTTTTTTTTGTTTTTTTTGTTTTTCTCCGGTACCGGGAACCGAACTCACGACCTTGCGCTTGCCAGGCAGGCGCTTTTGCTGCTGAGCTAGATCCCCAGGCCAGCTTTGTCTCTCTTGTTCTCCACCCTATCCTCAATGCCAAGAACTATATCTGCTTGAGAGAGATACTCAGTATTCATTGAACAAAGCAGCTATGCTGTGAGTAGGTACTTCCAGCCTCCTGTTACAGGTGAATGTACAGACTAAGGGCCTTTAACTTACCTGGGGTCACTACTGAGTGACAGAACCAGGCATGTGGGCTCTAGCACCTGCCTTTTTTTGTTTGTTTGTTTTCATTTTCTGAGATAAGGTCTTGTAGTTCAAGCTGGCCTTGGACTCACTGTATAGCCTAGGCCAGCCTCAGACTCAGTAATCCTCCTACCCTGTCCTCCCGGGAGCTGGGATTACAGGTATGCACCACCACACTCGGCTGCTCCACCTGCATTCGTAAGCACTTTATGCTCATGCATCTGTGCACGTCCTAAGGGGACATAGGTTGTTATACATGTGCCTTCCATGGGGGATATGAGCTGGTTAACAGGCAGCTAAGTTTCTCCTTTTAGGCACTTAATCATCCCTCTCTCCTCAGTGTTTTTCTCGGACAGATCGATTACTCAGACACAAACGGATGTGCCAAGGGTGCCAGTCCAAGACTTCCGACGGGCAGTTTTCTCTATAGGTGCAAGGGGCCCTGGGTGGTGGGAGTGATCAGAAGAATCTACTGAAGAGTGCACCCTCTCGGGTCTGATGGTCCCACCACCACCTCATCTGACCTGTCCCCCTCCTGGCAGAGTGGACCCAGGAGGCCAGAAGAGTGCTTCAGGGGACAGTGACTCCAGAGCCTGTGCTCTGTAAATAATCTGAGACTGTGAGTATGTCGGGAAGTTCCTTCAGCATTCCTGGCTAGGGAACTAGTCCCTGGACCCGTGGCTGAGGTCATAGATGGGGACTTAACGGTGTAGGACCAAGACTGAAGTGTGGCTCCCACAGCCTTGGACTCCAGCTGGCAGCTGAAATGGAAAAGATGGGGGAAGGGGATTCTGTTCTGTTCTGTTCTTGTTTTTGTTTATCTGAAAGCAGTTTCAGCAGGTAACTGTGGATGCCGTAATCTGGAGGCATAAAGTCCTGGTCCAAAGCAGGGACTGTGGCTGCCCTCCCCAGAACTGAGCTTTTAGCTATCATAGACCCTCAGCATTCCACAGACCTGCGTCTCACCTCCTCTTTGAGGAAGGATAAGATCAGGGATGGCAGCCGAAATTACTTTGGCCTTCTTATACACTGTAGAGACAAAAGGAAAAACGGGCGGAGCAGACAAGGGCTGGATCCAAGAAAAGTGGGCAGTACCTCTTACCTCCTCAGAAGAGCAAGAGTTGTGCCCATGGGTGTTGTCATGGCCTGTGCCGTACTGGTACCTGCTAAGGTCAGCTCAAGTGCCTTTTGGAGGAAACTTGGGTGAGAGGGACCCACAAAGTCCTTTTCCTTCTCTCTGGGCCACTGGTCTTGGACACGGTTTGTGGCTACCTCACTGTCATTGACTCCTAAAGCGAGAACAGAGATTTTGAGCAAGGAGTCATTTTCAATCGAGTTCTGTCCTTGTGCCCTCTTAGAGATAACCCAGGACTAGTCCCAAGTTGGCGAACAGCTGTTTAGGAAATGAGGATTTGGCAGCCTCTGACACAACTGCTGAGCAGTAGATTCAGTTCTTCCTGCCACATCCTATCACTGTATTCAGATAGAGGAGATAGGGGTCTGGCCTTGGGTCTCAAAGAACAGGATCTTGGCCTCCTTAGTAGCTGTCCCACCCAACAAAGAATGGGGCAGGAGGAATGCTGCAGAGAAGGGACCGCAGAGAGAAACCTAATCTGGGTTTTATTCTTAACGTGTTCTTTGTTCCTCTCTGCTCCAAAACCACCACCATGTCTGCCCCAAGAAAAGTGATTGTGTGTGTGTGTGGAACATGAGTGTTCATGTCTGTATGCTTGGAGGAGATGTTGTATTACTGAACCAAACCCTTCTCTGGCCCTTGGCCTAAGAGAGATGAACATAAAACAGCTGTCTCCCACTCATACCTGAAAGTAGCTTGAGTGCCAGCAGGAGCTGAGGAATCCATTTAGGGAACAGAAGAGCTTTGTTCGATAAGGGTTTTTTCAGATCAATTCAACAGGCTGGTGTGTCGGGTGTTTCTGACCCAAACCAGGACTTGCGTGTGTGAATTTTTTAAGATGAAATAAAAGGTCCTCTTCCTTCCTGCTAAAGGAAGGATCTCTTATGACAGGTTCCAGAGTTTGGTTAACCACGTAACAGGTGAGAATGGGGGGGACTGTCCTCAGAGTAATCATGGAGACTGGGTGAACCTGAGCCCCAAACTGTTGACAGGATCTGAAATGGCAGCCTCCAGGAAGTGTGGTTCATTACCTGGAAAATGTGGGGAATAGGCAACAGCAGCAGACTCCTGGCTACTACCTATTCTAGGGATTGGTGCGGGTAGAGACCCTCCATTCCTGTGAGGTAGAAATATTTCAGGGAAGAATAAAGGAGACATGGCACCCTTTAGCTTTTCTCTGATGGCATCTGAGTTCCTTTGGAGGAGACGCTGAGGAATGTCCGCTGCCATGTGTTACAGCTTTATACTGACACTCCTGTTCGATGTCCGCAACCCACACCTTGGTCCTTGGATCCGCCCTGTGGTCCCTGCAAGCAGGGTCGTATTTCTGCATGTGAGCCAGCCCCCTTCCTATTAGAGGGCTCTGCCGGGGCTGGGGTTCTGTCATTCAACTCTGGAAAGGAGGATACACTGAGAAAGTCATTCTCCCAAAAGTGCTTTTCAAAGTGGGAGCCCTGTCCCTGCCCCTTGGAGCTGATCTTTCTGGGAGGACGAGTGTGTGAGGAGAGTCACGTGAGTGACTGTGCCCCTATGTGTGTGAATGTGTGTGCGAGGTCAGAGCATGCCCTGGCCCTCACGGACATCAGCTTCCTGCCTGGGTGGGTAGGTGGGAACTCCTGAGCATGTGTGCAGATGGCTGAAGCAGCACCGGCCCTGCCAAGGCCTGGGCGTGGGGGAGCTCGGGAGCAGGTGGTTAGTCCAGTTGTTCAGGTGCTGATGTTCCTGGCAGTGGATGTATGAGGAGACCAGCAAAGGGGTGACAGAGGCCCAGGAGCCCCACTTCTACCCCAGAGAACCTGCAGACCAGGACCACTGCAAAGGCTGCTGGGCTCCATGCCCACTCCTCCTGAGCTGGAAAGATGCCTCAGGGGTGTGGGAGTGGAGAAGTGGAGCCAGGGCGGCCCCTGAGAGCAGGACATGCAGTTGAGGGGCCTGGGAAAGATAGTGCCGGTTTCTGGTTGGGTTCCTGTACCAGGCCTGACCAGCTCTGCCCTTCCCAGCACCCCATCTTTTCGTCCATTCCCCCCTTGTCATCACTTAGCTACTGATTGTGCCCCATGGCTTGGCACTGGAGAGGTTAAATGAGTGGAGCCCACTACAACCTTTAACCCTCTCCCAGATGCTCTTGGCCTCTGCTGCAGCCCTGGGGCTTTCGTCTTCAGCAATCCCCCCTTACCCTCCCTCTCCACCTTTTTTTTTTTTTAATATACTTATTTTGCTATGGGGGAGGGGACTTAAATGAACAAGATCACTTTTAAATGGTAGTTTTTATAAGATGTTATAAACTTGTATCTTTTTACCATTAAAGTGCAGTGTATGTTCCTTCGTGATATATTTAGGATATTTAAATAAAAAGAAGGGGACTTTTCTATATCCTATCTCCTTTTTGGGAAGACTGTCCTTTGGCAAAGCTCTTTCACTGGGAGCCAGAGTGATTTTAGTGGTTTTCATTTCCTCTCCCTAATATAAACAGCCAATCCCGCAATTTCCAGCACCCTGTTAAAATTCCCCCCTCTCCACTGAGGAGCAACAAGTAGAAGCAGAAAGGGCATCAGTTCTGAGGAAAGGAGCACACAGCAGGACAGACAGGGTCAGATGCCAGCCAAGGCTGTGCCGCCGGCGCAGTCTGCGCACCTGAGCAGGGACCCCTGCGAGTCCCGCAGACTCCGGGCCTGGAGAGGTGGGTCCCAGGCTGCTCTCTGCCTAGCTACCCAGAGGAAAAACGGACCTGGCCTTTCCTGAAGCCCAGACTGAAAGCATTGGTGGGGCGGAGCAAAGCAACAGCTGTGGTCTGGAGTGTGACACTTTATTGCGTACTTGCATGAGATGGAAAACAGGGTTGCAGCAGCAGGAAGCTGCCCTTTGGGTGTCACTAGAAACCAGGTAGGGTGGTAGCCGCCCCTCAGCTGCAGATGAGTCCCCAGTCAGGCTGCTGCCTGCTAGGCGCTGCCCGCCCTCCCACTGTTCTTCAGGGCAGGGCCTTCAGGGACTGAGGTTCTCTTTGCTTTGAAACTTGGGGTTTTTGGTGGTGGTAACAGCGCTTTTGTAGAGAGGATTGCTGTCCTGTGGGGGAAAATGCAAATGAGGAGGGCAAATCTCAGGATTGCTCCTCCCCTTTGTCCAGTCCTAAGAGCTGAAGGAAGTGAGCGGAGGGAGGCACCCAGGTAGAAAGGGTGGAGTAGGGAAGCAGCAAGGAATGGACCCAGCCAAGGAACCAAACCTGGAGAGCCCAGCCCAGCGGGACAGGAGGGCCCTCACCTGCTTCCAGTTGAGTTGCAGCCGCTCCTTCTCAAAACGGCTGTACTCTCTGCGGTCGTAGATTTCCACTGAGAGCCGGTAAGCCAGGACCAGCCCCAGTCCCACTGCCACGATGCCCCCTATGCAGCCCAGCACAATGGCCAGGGTACGGTCTGCTCGCTCTGTGGGGCAGAAACAACTTGAACCCCTGGCAGCCTGGACATAAGGACACCTCAGCATTGCCTACAGTATGTCCAGCTCCCAACCCTGTCACCCAACGCAGAGGGAAAGCCAGGAGGGTCCTTGCGGCAAACCAGTGGCACGCGTGCTGTAGTGGGCTTTTTGCCATCACCGGCCCAGAGCCCTAGCCACATTACCTCTGCTCTGCCTGACTTCACAGCTTTGCTTCCCTTCTTCCCACCCATCCCCACTCTGAGGCCCCACTGTCAAACTCCAAGGCACTATTGATGTCCCGGTGTCCTTCACTCACTCTCTTGGGGTCTCACTCGCAGCACAACTCGACCTCCAGCCTCATCCTCCACCAGGAAGAAGAACAGCTGGTTGTCCTGTGTCTTCTCTTTACACCAGCCATCATCCAGGATGGGTCCTTGCACCAGCGTCACATTGGCATGGGCACAAGCCATGCTGCAGTTGGCAGCCAGGGGACCAGTCCCAAAGGCTCCACATTCTGCACAGTCCCTGTGCAGTGAATACCAGTAAGTCACCAGCTGGGCAGTTGTCACCCTCTGGCCCTTCCTCACCTTGTGCTGGAAGGGGCAGGGGGTTGCTCAGCAAGCCACACTGGTCTACCCCCAAGACGCAAGACCTGAAGCCTCACCTGTGTTCTTCACATGGTGTCTTGCAGCCTGGGCACTGGTCACACAGAGCACCATAGTAGCCATCCAGGCACTGGCAGCGGTTGCATTTGCAGTGTCCATGTCCACTGCAGAGGCCTCCCGCAGGACTAACACAGTTGTCTGTGTCCCCACTGCACTCGCATGCTCTGCCTGTGCGGTTGGCTTGACAGTGACACACACCACAGCGACAGCGGCCAAAGCCTGGGGTAGAGCCATCCACAGGGTGACAACATACTCGCCACAGTCAGCCATCATACGCCCCCACAGGACCATGCACAAATGCCTCTCAAACGTGCCAGGCACATCCTCCAAGCTAGCAGACTGTCCGAGGCCCCCAGTGCCTGAGAGTCCCAGTATTAAGTGCCCTCGGGAGGACCCCTCGAACCCTGCCCTTCTCCCAAAGGATCTAGGTACCTCCACAGAGGATGCCCTGGTGTCGCTCACAGCCAGCATCGTCACATTCACACAGCAGCCCAGAGCTCTGGCCGCTGCAGCTGCAGCGTCCACACTGGCACCGTCCCTTCCCGCTGCACAGGGGCCCTGTCCCATTGGGGGCCCGGCACCCAGACTCCAGGTCTGGGGAGGACAGGTCAGCCTCAGAGCACTCACAGAGCCGACCTAGGCGGCCGGGGAGACAACTGGAAGAAGGCACAGGAGAGACCTGCATCAGTCTAACTGTTCCTGGCCTGTCTCTCAGGACTCCTGTAACCCTAGGGGTTTTGTGTTTTGTTTTTTTTTTTGAGACAGGATCTCTCTATGTAATGCAGCCTGACCTTGAACTCACTCTGTAGCCCCAGGCTGTCCTCAAACTCAGGAGGATCCTTCTGCCTCAGCCTCCTGAGTGCTGGGATTACAGGTGTGCACCACCGTGCTCAGCTAAACCCAGGTTAAAAGCACTGGAGAAAAACAAGTGCCTGAAGTGCCAGGACCAGTGGAGCATCAAGGGTGGAGGCAGGGAAGGGTGGAGTTCTGCTCCAGGGCAGGGCTTGGGGCTATCAGGGAAACTGCAGTCAGGAGCCCTGGAGGTCTAGGGGCCCCCAGTGGGAGGGTGGGAAGTAAAGGAGGAACATGAGGGGTGGCCACTATGGAGATCAGCTGGGTGAAGGTACGGGGAGGCCCTCACCTACACATCCCGCACTGAAGCTGCCCCTGGCCGTCACTGCAGTGCGGAGCCTGGAGCTGGGTGTCATTGCAGTTACAGTCACACAGTGTGTGCAGCTCCACAGTCACTTCCTCGGAGAAGCCACGAGCTCGGAGCCTCAGGAGGTGGGGCTCTGGGAGGCAGTGGGTAGCTCCCAGAGTAACCCAGAAGTTCACCTGAAGGCGGGGCAGGCGGGGGCCCGGACTGAGTGACATGCGCACACGGGTAGGAAATGTCAAGGTGCACAATCATGCTAACACCTATCTCCCACAAACACACTTGAGGAAGCCGTGCATTAAAGTCCCTCAGAAAGGATGAGTGCGAGCCTAGCCTGCGTCCGCACGTGCCCTGTGCCCGCCCCCATCCTTCACCACCTGCGTCAGTGTTCCGCACCCCACCTCCATCCTGCCGATCCCAGCCGTTTCTCACCGTCTGGTTGACGCGAACATGGTTGCACTGTCCTCGGACCCCCTCACCCTCCTCCTTCTCAGAACCCCCACACCAGGATTCATAAGAGATGTGGACCCCAGGAGGGAGTGAAGAGTGTTCAAGGGTCACAGTGGATGACAGGCTCTGCGGGACAAGAAGGAGGAGCCTTGTGAGAGTAGAGCTCCTGACCACACCCTCCGTCCTTGCCAGCCATTCCAATTCTATCTGAACTTGCCCTCTGCCGCCCGGGGCTCTGTCTATCCTTCCCGATGAGGAGGCATTCCTGGGCGAGGACCCGTGAGAGAACTGAGGGATTCCTGGGATCCTACAGCATGGCAGCCCAGCTGCCAGCAAAGACCACAGGGATTGTCAAGTACTATAAATGTGCAGTGGCTGTCAAACCCCAGGTCAGGACATGTAACCTGTATGCACAGCACATGTGGTCCAAAGGCAGATTCATTACATGCAGTTTGCCCTGGGAAATCTGATGCTGTCTCAGAAATTTTCTCACCATGGCTTAGGCTGTGGTCCCTGTCAAGAATCTTACAATCAGGGCTGGGGGTTTAGCTCAGCGGCACAGCGCCTGCCTGGCAAGCACGAGGTCGTGAGTTCAATTCCTCGTACCAGAAAAAAAAACAAAACAAAAAAGGAATCCTACAACTGGCTGGGCATGGTGGCGCACGCCTGTAATCCCAGCACTTGGGAGGCTGAGGCAGGAGGATTGTCTCAAGTTCGAGACCAGCCTGAGCTACAAAATGAGCTCAAGGCCAGCCTGAACTGCATAGCGAGACCCTGCCTCAAAAAGACAAAAAAAAAAAAAAAAAAAAAAAAAAAAAAAAAAAGAATCCTACAATCTAGACACAGAGATACAGCAGTGGTCCAAAGAATACTTTGGACTTTTTATTCCACTTCTAAAAGTCTCTGGTTCTGCTGGCACACATCTGTAATCCCAGCACTTGGGATCACCATGAGTTTAAGGCCAGCCTGAACTACATAGTGAGACCCCATCTCAAAAAAACAAAAACACACACAAAATTTATGAATGTAAGAGTGATCTACCCATGACAGTCACATGCAGGCTGTAGGAGCAGCTGTGGAATGGTAGAATTGAAAAGTAGCCATGCCCTTGGTTCTCCACCCCAGGTGAAGACCCCTTTCCACCTCACCCTTGTGGCTACTCTCGCCGCTCCCCCCCAGGCTGGCTCACGTGGTAAGCGTCCATGATGAGCTGCACCACATTGCTGGAGTCCTCACTCAGCTCTCCCACTGCAGACTTGGGAATCATCTGGCTCAGCTCCTGAGTTAGGAGTTGAGGAAACAGTGGCGCACAGCTCTAAGAATCTGGGCTGCTAGAGCCCGGAAAGGAGGCACATGGCAGCGAGGAGATTGGTCTGGAGCAACTGAGGAAGGCGGGGGCAGGGAAGGTCTGCACTCAGCCCTCACCTGGTAGATGGGCAGTGTGGCACTGGTGACAGCAAAGATGGGCTGGATGTTTGCTGCAGAGAGGACCTGGGCTACCTGACCCACAGAGGGGTAGTCCTGAGGCAAGGAGTGGGGACAAGGTGAGTACCACAGGTCTCCCCACCATGTGCCGGGTGCCCTCAGCCCAGGAAACCCAGGACCCGGGGTTCCACCAGCTGGAAGAGTTCTGGAGGCTTAGTAAAGCGAAGGTGGTAAGGAGGTTTCCCACCCCAGCATCTGGGGCCA